AAATCAGTCTGTTGTTCCATGTCCAGTTCTAACTGCTGCTTCCTGACATGCATACAGATTTCTCAAGAGGCATGTCAGGTGGTCTGGTAGTCTTATCTCTTTAAGAATTTTCCAGAGTTTGTTGTGATCCACACAGTCAAAGGATTTAGTATAGCCAATGAAACAGAAGTAGATGTTCTTCTGGAATTATCTTGTTTTTTCTATGATCCAACAGATGTTGGCAATTTAACCTCTGATTCCTCTGTCTTTTCTAAACCCAGCTTGAACATCCGGAAGTTCTCAGTTCATGTACTGTCGAAGCCTCACTTGGAGAAATTTGAGCATTACTTTGCCAGCATGTGAGATGAGTGCAATTGTGTGGTAGTCTGAAAATTTTTTGGCATTACCTTTTTCTGGGATTGGAATGAAAACTGACTTTTTCCAGTCCTGTGGACACTGCTGAGCTTTCCAAATTTGCTGGCATATTGAGTGCAATACTTTCACAGAATCATCTTTTAGGATTTGAAATAGCTCAGCTGGAATTCCATCACCTCCACTAGCTTTATTTGTGGTGATGCTTCCTAAGGCCCACTTGACTTCGCACTCCAGGATGGCTGGCTCTAGGTGAGCGATCACACCACCATGGTTAAGTTAGTTAGTCAGTTCTTTAGTTAGTTCTCTAGGGAACTAGATGCCACATGCTGCAACGAAGGATTCCACATGCCACAACAAAGACTGAAGATCCTGCATGCTGGAACTAAGACCCAGCACAGCCGAAAACAAAACAAAAAAACTTCTGTCCAGCTAGCATAACCAGTGCCACAAGAATTGAGATGTTATCGTGAATTCCAGCTGGGCCAAGGGGTAGTCAAGTAATGATACGTTTCCATTAATATCGATAATAAATAGGTTTGGGCAACACATAGACTGAGTCTTCTCTGCTCCTCCAGTGTGATATTTACACATAATACAAATGGATCTGAATTTATTTTATTTTGGTTTCTTTGGGATATTTATTTTTATTTATTTTTTTAAAAATATATATTTATTTGGTGGTGCTGGGTCTTCATTGTGGCATGCATGATCTTTAGTTGCAACATGTGAGATATAGTTCTCTGACCAGGGATCAAACCTGGACCCCCTGTGTTGGGAGTGCTGAGTGTTAGCCACTGGACCACCAGGAAAGTCCCAGGATGTTTATTTTTTAATAAACTACTTCTTCACGATGTGCAAAAAACCACAGTATGAATTGCCACAATACTGACCCCACCTCTTTTAAAGCTTTCAGGACAGGACAGCGTGTTTCTATGATTTGACGCATTTTTGTATAAGTGTCAAGTGAATTTACGAAAAGTCAATCTGATTTTACCTACACTTTTTCTTCTGAAATGTGGGAAAGAGATGTATTAGCAGGGAAAGATGTACTTAGCCCATAGTAGATGAGCTAAGTGATTCTAGAAAGGAAGAGGCCCAGATTATCGCTGTCCTCCTGGCCTTTAGTACCTGTACTTCCTATGTCAGCAGCCCTGTGCCCCCAGCGAGTATTTTCAGTGCTTTGCCAACTCTGGGTCCCCTCTCCACCATATTGGTCACCTGCTCTGCTACCTGGACCATAAGTATCTTCACCCCTACTCAGCGATACAAAGGCTCTGGTCTTACAGAAGCAGCTTGGACAAGCAGAAATATCTCTTAGGCTGGAGGCTTTGGACTTCAGGAAATTAATTCATTGCCTACATTATCAGTTCTGTGAGTCCAAACGTCTACAAGTGAGTTTGCTTGGAATAAACCACTTAGATTGGAGTAAAAAGAGAGAAGGGAGATGACCGGTACATGTGGCCGGGGGAAGTGGAGCATAAAAGAGGGAATCTGAGTGAATGCACAAGAAAATATTTGCCTTAATACCACCTTGCTTCTGTAGAGCACTTTACTGCTCTAAAGCATTTCAATGCATTTGAACTTATTTTTCAAAATCTGTGTCTCAGGCAGAACTGGCTGACAGCTGAGAAGATTGGAAGGAGTCCAGGTAACAGTGATAAGACCTGGGCTAGAACAGATGTGTCCCTAAATGGCCATTTAAGTCTGGGAAGACTCTTGGCTTCTCTGAGACTCAGTTTCCCTATTGATTGAGCACAAACTAAATTAGAATGAGGGCTTGAATTATCTGATTTTTATGAGTCCTTTCAACTCTGAATGCTGATGATGCCATTTGGTGTAACAATGTGTTTTTGCACAGCTGATTACAATAGGAATTTTGTGATGCCAAGAAGTTAGACATAACCTTGTAGAAGAAAAAGTGCTGGCTTAGAGCTACTTACACATCTGCAGCTTACTCACCAGCCATGTGACTTTGACAAAGTGAGTAAGCTTCTCTGGGCCTCAGTTTCCTAAACAGAAAATAAGGACACTGAGACTTGCCTTGTAGGGTGACTGCACATGTTAAATGAGATAGTGAATCTGAACGTACTTCCAAACTCTAATGACCTATAAAAATGTGATAATGTATTACTGTTATCACTATTACCAGCACACACACAAAAATCCATTAGCTATCTAAGAATTACCTGACAAGGGAAAACAAATGAATTAAGCAGCCATTACTATTCACCCAGCATAAATCTTAATCAGAGAGGAAAGGCCATTTACAAACCAGGGGGAAAAAAATTTTGGTTCCTTCCCTCCTCTCTGACATCCATGGAACAGACTTCCATGCACCCCTCATCCCTCTGTAAGCCTCATACAGAAGGCTTAGAACATTAACAATGAGGATTCCCTCCATGGAAAGGGCAAAGAAAGTAATCTCCTTATACAGATCTTTCAAAGATCAACAAAAGTCAACATTTATATTAAAAATAATTATACCATCATACTTAAAAAGGAAACACCCATTCTTCCAAACTTTGTAATATGTTGATTAGAGCACAACATCAGTTGGCAATGAGGAGTCCTGGACTGTCCTTTGGAAACATCTGATCATATTCTGAGATGCTGAAGATTCAATACTTTGGCCACCTGATATGAAGAACTGACTCCTTAGAAAAGACTCTGATGGGGGGAAAGATTGAAGGCAGGAGAAAGGGATGACAGAGGATGAGATGGTTGGATAGCATCACCAACACAATGGACGTGAGTTTGAGCAAGCTACGGGAGTTGGTGATAGACAGGGAAGCCTGGTGTGCTGCAGTCCATGTGGTCACAAAGAGCTGAACATGCCTGAGCAACTGAACTGAACAGAACTGAATAAAAGAGCTGACTCTTCTCTGCCATCCCCATGTACACAGCCCCTCTCCTATGTTTGGGGCTAAGTGTTCAGGGTTATGCATGCTGACCTATATGATAGAAGTCTCTACTCCAAGGTGATTTTTCACTCCCTTTCTTGGAATTACTATGTATTATATTGCTATATACAAGGTTGGAAAGAAGCTCATCGAAAAAGGGATATAATTTTTTTTTTTCCAGGATGACCAAGTAACAGAGGGCCTTCAACTTTGGGCAATATTCAGAAAGTCTATTGGTTTTCTTTGTTCTCTGATGTTTTTGAGTCTTTCTGGGTTTTAAGTACTGGGTATTTTAGGCCATAGGTTTTAGCAGGAAAGTTTTTACATACAAACTAAATAATTTTTTAAAATTGAAGTATAGTTGATTTATAATGTAGTGTGAATTTCAGATGTACAGCAAAGGGATTGCTATACATGTATATTATTTTACAGATTCTTTTCCATTATAGGCTATTATCAGATATTGACTATTACTTTCCATGCTATATGGTAGATCTTTATTGTTTATTTTATATATTAAATCAACTTTTTAAAATAAGCTTTTAATTAATAGAATGTCAAAGAAACCACAACTTGCCTGGACTGTATTTAAGGGGAAAAATAAATTTACTTTTAACATTTTTAATTCTTCATAGTAATTTTGGTTTTTAAAAAAAATCTTGAAAATAAAAGCAAAGATAGCAAGTAAACACTTTAAGACTAAGACATTACCATACCCATCCTTCATAATTTCCATAAGGAGGAGCATAATAGATGCTTGATCAATGTTTGTCAAATTAAATTATTTTAAAAGTTTCATAAAGAAGATAGACACTAAATCAGAATAAGAGTTTACAAAGCATTATTATAAAAGCTCCATTTGAAAATAAAATCAATAATGGTGTTAAGAGAAAGTGAAACCCACTTCTAATGAACTTGATGAAATACAAGTTCTATGCCTCATGGAAATGTGGAGCTAGAATTAACTCTTGATTCATGCCTATTCCTACTTCAACCTCGCTGATCATCAGAGATATATAAGCCACAGTTTTGCATTTCAATTAGTTAAACTCAATGCATTCTTTTAAATTCTAAAAGTATCTTCACAGAGTAAAAACAAACAAGCAAAAATACACATTCACACACACACACACACATATATGAAATTGTTTCAACCAAAAGACTTGGGGATAACTGCTAGAAGTAAATGAATATCTTATCATGATCAATAAATTTAGGGATAACTACCGGAGGTAAATATCTACTTTATCAATCTATCATTGCTTGCCACAATCCTTTCTTTCCTTAAATGAATCATGTCTAATGCAGGACTGATAAGGAGTAATTGATTTAATCCTCTGAGTAACATGTATCTTCTGTATCATTATATACAGTTTGGGCTCAATATATTTACTGCATCCTTTATTGGGTAACATGGAAATGGGTGCTGAGTTGGCAGTTCGATAATAAATAGCCCTCATGTTATCTGAGTTGCTCTTTTGCATTGACAAAAATGGCGATAAATTGGCTTGTAATTGAGACAAAGAAGGAAGACGATTACTCCTGATGCTGAGATGCATTTATCCCCTGACCCAGCCCTTGCTGAGCACGCATGCTCCTCCATCAGCCTGCTGGACCAGCCCTGAAACAGAGAGCAGCCCAGGGAACTGGTCTCTCTGGCACACGCCTCAATACCCCCGCGGCCAGGAGCTGACCACAGGAGCAGCTTCCATGAGGTAGGGGCAGGGGTGGAAGGAACCACTTTACCTTCCTGCACACAGACGGGTTTGTCACTCGGGATCCAGCCTAGGGTTCCGTTTACATGCTTCATACACAGTCTCTTTGTAGAGCCCTTCAGTTTGAATCCGTCTTGGCAGTGAAAACGGGTGACAGAGCTTTCAAAGAAAACCCCTCCGCTGGGCGTCCTGAAGCCATTCTCGGGGACGCCGGGGTCCGCACACACCTGAAGGTCATCGAACCCTACATGCACAGAGAGAAGAAAAGATTCCTCTGAATACACTCTCTGGATTCCGAGGGTCTTCTAGGATAAAGAGCAGATACTGTCGTCTTTCCAATGCTATGGGTCACCAAACTCCACCAACAGAAAAGTCAAGAACATAAATAAACATTCTAGCGCACATTACAGACTGCTTTTTGCTCTTTGCTTAGAAAAGCGCTCATCAGTGATTTCAGTTCCACCATCAAGTTAGCCCTTCAAGAAAATTCTAGAAGTAGGGAGATGAGGAAAAGTAAATCACAAAAAGCACTCAAAGTGGTAAAAGTCACAACCTAAGTATAAAATGCAGGAAGGAGCTGAGGAGGTAGAGGTGGTCAGGGAAGGGGGAGATGGAATCTGAGCCCAGCATTGAAGGACTGGTGAGACTTCAAGGATGGACCCACCTTCGTGGAGGGGGGCACAGGGGAACGGCACGCGTGACGGCCCAGCTGGGAGACCTCTGCAGGTGACACCTGCAGGGCAGCAGGTGACAGTGATACAGGGCGTGCAGAAGAGGCAGGCTGGGGATGCCCATCCTCCTTTGCCTGCTGCCCTCACCCCCACCCACCAGTCCTGGACCACGTTCCTCATCCTCTGGGAGGCCTTCCTTATCCCCACTCCCCCCCCCCACCCCACCTACTCCCTCTTTGTTCCACTCCTGTAACATGAACACAGCCTTCTGCTGAATTATTTGGAGAACAATCACCTCTCACTCTGGGTTATGAGCCCCCAAGGACAAGTTCCAAGATTTTTCACTGTGGTATCCCACGGGATCTATCACAGTCCTGCGTAGAACCTGCTCCATAAATGTTGGATGAGTGAGTAAACGGAGTTGGGAAAGAGAGTGGGAGACACACTGGGGTGACCCGAGAAAGCCAGGCTGAGAGAGCAGGCCAGTGTGGAGCCATGGAGCCGGGCGGCAGGTACCAGGAGGCCCAAAGGATGGATGCTGGAGGGAGTAAGTGCAGGAGAGAGCTCAGAGCAGGGCTGGGAGGCCCAGACGCGATGGGCCTGAGCGCACAGGAGAGTGCTAGAGGCAGCAAGCGGGGCACCAGAGTTCAAGACATCCCGGTTCAGGGGCCCGATGTGGGGGGAGGGAGACAGGCTGACAGCTGGGACCAAGGCCGATCCTTGAAACAAACATGGATGACATGAGCTCGCTGGCAGAGACAAGGATAAGGAAGGGGCGCTCTGTGTGCCCACCACTCAAAGGGAAGGAATGAAGGAGACACAGAGAACCCTAAAACTCCTGTGCACCACGAAGGCCTTCTACTTCACTCTCTTACAAAATCCTTACTGCATAAGTTCCCAGAACAAATACGCGTAACTCCATCCGGACTGGGGTTGGTGTGCCCATCCATCCCCGCCCCAGGGCAGCTGATGGTCCCCCAGGTGGGAGAGGGTGAGCAACAGCCTGGGCCACCTTATAAAACCCAGCCCAGACCCACAGGCAGCATCACTGGAGCCCTTGGAGCTCCTGTTTTCCAGGTGATGCCCAGATGCCAGCCCCAGGAGACATCTGATCCTCTGCGACAGCTGGACTTGCAAAATGCCCTCAGCTGGTCGGTGATTTCCCCCATCCCAACTTTCACGGGCTCATGAAGGACTCACCTGCGGTCCTCCCCAACCGACCTTGTGACCCCGGACACCCTGCCAGCGCCACTGGGTTGAAAGCCACACTGTACAGAAGGGGCCACAGTGACAGGGTGTCCAGAAGTCATGACATGTTCCCTCTGCAGTCAGCACAAGGCTGTGGACCAAGTGGGTCCAAGGAGGAAGGCAGGGAAGGCGACAGCAGCCACATCTGACTCTACTACATCTTTTCAGGGGGAGCGGGTCTGATATTTTATTGAACAGAGGGTGCTTTGACAAAGGAGACTCCACCTAGCCTCAGCGCCACTCACACACAGCCGCAGCTCTGCCCCGCTGTGAGCACTCTGACAGCACATGTGCGGTGTGCTCCAGGCCTGCGGAGGGTGACGATTAATGCCCATCTGGGGGAGGGCAATAAAGTACCAGCAGGTTGCTAAGGGGTGGCTTCATGTTTTTATTTCAAAGGAAAAGTAGATTATCAAGTGTTTCCTAAGTGACGAAGGTTTCCTTCCAAGTCAGGTCATCACAGGGTGGGTTCTTTAAACATACGTCCACCATGGTATTGAGGTGGCAGCTAGCAGCACTGGAATTCCACCCAAGCCTAGAAAGCCCAGAAGCAGGAACATTCAGAAACCTCAGTGGTCTGGACACTTTCTGGCAGGCTGTGGGTGAAAGTCATTCTGACTCACATTCTGTAAGTCCAAGAGAAGCTGTATCAGACGGTGGGTGGCCACAGACGGGTAAGCTGAGGGTAAGGGGGGGACAGGCCTCCAGAAGACCTGGAGTTGAAATCTCACAGCTGAGCAGACACCAGCCAGCCAGAGGGAGGAAGGGCGCTCACGGGGAGGTCAGTGGCTGCTGAGCGCATTTCAGGGAAGAGGTGGTTCTGCCGGGCTGGGGGCAGGGTGACCAACTGCACAGGTGGAGCCCTGTGCGGGGTGCAGGGAGGGTAAGAGACGCTGGCTGCAGATCACGAAGGGCCGTGTGTCTCAGCTAAGGGTTTGGACTTGATGAAGGGGTGAGGGATGGGGTTGTGGCTAATACTGAGAGCTTAGAACAGTGACATTATCGGAATCAGATCTGCAGTTTTGAATGATCCTTCTTGTACCCACATGGAGGACTGCCTGATTCAGACCAAGCTAGAGGCAGGAAGCTCATCAGAAGCGCCTCCCAGGCCTCCAGCTAAACCTCAGGAGCAAGAAGGCAGCTTTGTAAAAGGACATCCACTGACCCAGGCTGTCTGGGTTTTAGAAAGCTGTCCCAGCGATTGTGAGACAGCCAGCCCCACACCTGCCTGACGACTAGCAACTAAGAACTCTGGGATTTCAGGGCTTGCACTGTAACCGGGTGGGAAACCAGGAGTTGGAACCAAGGTGGAAGCGATGGAAGAGCAAGGCCAATGGGCGACAATAAGGACACAGAATCACAGAACCTGTGACCACTGGATGGAGGACGGGGTCAGGGGAATGAAGTAAAAGAGAGGCATCTAGGAAAACTCCCAGGTTCTGATGATGGTGGGGCCCTGTATGAGGACTGGGGCGCGGGGAGTTTAAGCTCTCAAGGGTAGTGGGGTGGGGCGGGGGGCACCCAGGCAGACATGTCTGGTGATGAGCTGGAGGCTGAGTCTGAAGCTCCATGGTGCCCTGGGTTGGACATCCGGGCATGGGCAGGCGCACTGCTCTGGGAACAAACACAGTGTGAAAGGAGGCGCAGCCCAGGTACCCACAAAGGACCCTGGGAATCCAGGGCCATGGAGAAGGAAGACCTGACTGTGTTATGGAAGCTAGGGAAGGGAAGGAAGGAATGGGCAGCAGGGTCAACCACCACCCACAGACCTGCTTTCTGAGTCTGAGAAGCATCCACTGGCTGGAGACCGGGACACTGGGACCACAGCCCAGGCGGCTTCAAGGACAGGGAGAACTGTCCTGGGGGAGGCTGCCTGCCTGTTGATGTTTGAATGGGGTGGGGTGGGTGACAGTACGCACGGGCTTCTCTTTCCAGATGCTTGGTGTGAACAGAAGAGCATAGGGTGGGAGTTATTCCTGGATTAGGGCCAAGAGAGGGGTTTTATTGTTTTATTGTAATAAAATTTGAAGATGAAAGAGATTCCAATATGTCTCTACACAGCAGGGAGAAAGAAAAAAAGGCTGTGGGTTGGGGAGGGGAGTAAAGGGGAGGCAGGTGGGGTAAGTTCTCCCCACCTGAATGTGGGCAGGGAGGGAACCTGAACTCCTGAGGCAGGAAGGAGAGTTTTGCCAGAACCTCCAATGAGGGAGGCACGTACCCCATGACGTGCTCATCCTCCAGGACTTAATAGCCTCTCCCCCTGGGAGCCTTCCTTCTTCCTTCAGAGTTTGAATAGCAGGCCTCTGTTCCCATCTAGGCACCCAGGCTGTCCTCGCTTGGAGTACTGAGCTGTCTCTCCCACTGGGCTGTGAACTCATAGAAGGGGTAGATGGGATCTTAATCTTCACCTCCTCCTATAGTGAGTGTGGGCATTTCACAAGTGCTGCTAGTGAAAGACAGGTGGTTGGATGGATGGATAGACAAATAGATGGAGAGGATAGGTGGGTGGGTGGAGAGGGGGATAGGTGGGTGGATGAATAGAAGACAGGTGGGTGGTGGGACCTCCCTAGCAGTCCAGTGGTTAGGACTCCATGCTTCCACTGCAGGGGGCATGGGTTTGACCCCTGGTTGAGGAATTAGCAGGGCCAAAGAAAAACATAGGTGAGTAGATGGATAGAAGATAGGCGAGTGGGTGGATGGATACATGGACAGAAGGTGAATGGATGGAGAATGAGTAGGTAGATGGATGGGTGGATGGATGGATACATGGAGAGAAGATGAAGGGATGGAAGGTGGGTGGGTGGGTGGAGGGAGTCAAACACTCTGCTGGACTCAGGCAAAGGTCCCTACCCCATCTCAGCAAAGTCACACCAATCGCTCTGATAGTCCCAGAGGTTTTTGTATTCAACAGACAAGGCAGGTGTGAAAGTTGTCCCCCAGCACAGACACACTCCCAAACCCTCTCACCTTCCTCTCTCCTCCCAGCCTGAGAAGACTGCATTCCTTATATTTTCATAACCTTCTTCCAGTCCAGATCCTCGAACACCTCAGCCCTCCTCCTCCGTCTCCACTGTAAAGTCTAAGGTAGGTGTACACTAAGGCTTTGATGGAGACATCTGTGCCTCCCCCACCCAGCACACACACACACTTCTTGGCCAATCACCCCTCACTCATAAATGAGCCATGCCGCCTGCTGAGTCCTGGGCACAGACACCTAAGCTTCTCACACCGCCCTGCCCTGGGCCACAAAGCTATTCTCTCTCAAAGAAGGGCAGATCATTCAAGAGACAGCTGAAGATGCAATCCTGACCCACTGCAAAAATGA